AGTTAATGATTATGATGTATTAAATTAAAATTTAAATAATTATATGTAAATATTGTCAAATAGTAAGAATGACATATCAGTAATGTGTGAATAATAATGCAATAAAAGGAATCGGCATTTGCAAAAGAATAATGAGAAATTATATTTACATAGTAGGAATTGGCATTATTAGATAATAATTATGCAATAAGTATGTAGTAATAAAGAATTGCATAATAAGAAAAAGTGATCAGATATGATATTTGTAATTTTCGCTTACCAATATAGCAATTATATAATAGAGTTACTTACCTTGTAATTTAATCTCTATTAGTCTTGATTTCTTATAAATATATATAAATCAGTATCGTATTTTGCAAGATAAAGTAATTAAAAATAAAGTTTCATATATTTGGTTTTTGTAAAACTATCACATAACATTATACAAATACAATATTCAAAGAAAATAAGTTTCTTTACTAACCTTGGTATAATGTCTAGTCAAGACCTTACTCAAAACCTTACACAAAACCTTGCTAAAAAAATGTGTAATAGTTGTCATATAGAAAAAAAACTATCTATTTTTGTCACCCTTCAGCTAACAGTTCACAATGTGAATTTGCTACATGTAACAAATGTTCTGAGAGAATAAAGAATAAACGCCAAGAAAAAAAAATTATTACATCAATAAATCAAAAAACAACCCAAAGTAGTAGCAATATTACTGATACATCAAGTGTAAGCAGTGATTTACAAATTATTGAGAGTATAGATTTTGCTAATGATCTTCTAGAAGTGGTGCCGTATGAGAGTTTTAATACTGAAGATAATAATCAGAAAAATAAAAATAGTAGTGACCAGGATAAAGATAATAGTGACCAGAATAAAGATAGTGATCAGAATAAAGATAATGACTAGGATAAAGATAGTGACCAGGATAAAGATAGTGACCAGAATGAAGATAGCAATCAGGAGGATAAAGATAGCGATAATTTTAAAGCACTCCTATATGGTTTAAATGAAATATGTGAAATTACTTCAAAGATATTTGAAGATGCAAAAGAATCTAATGAGTCAGTAAAGTTCATCTTTGAGGTTGAGTTAGATGAAGATCTAATTAATACTGTTGCTTTAACTCAACAAGATTTAGTTAATACAAATGATTTAAAAATAGTTAAAGAAAGATTTAACCAGCTTGCTAAAATACTTGCCATACCACTAGACTCTGGCTTCAGCTATTATTGGGAAATAAGAAAAACATGGTTAAAAAGTTATAAAAAAAAATTTACAGGTTCTGCTACAGTACATCTCTGCTGTACAATGTGAGATGATAGAGCCTGGAAAAGGCCAAATAACCAGCCACCCAAATGACATAGTGAAGCCAGAACCCCAATAAATAGATATAATTGTGCAGAAAAAATCAAACTTACCATAATCCCAGAAAATAAATATGTTCTTGTACAAGGGAATCATAATATAGTGCATGAGAATCCAACATATCATCAAGTTAAGTTTCCTATAAATGCAAAAGAATGGATTCAAAATAATGTTTTATTATATAATTTGTGAAGTACAGAAGTTTATCGTCGACTCTGTACAGTTAAATTAATTAATCTAGAGATTCATACAACCGAGCAAGTATACTACTAGGTATCTGTACTCAATAGAGAAACCTATATAAAAAATCAAGAAAATTCGCTTTTATCAGCAAAAGTATATCTCGAACAACCAAACTTTAATAATAAAGGATTTTAAGTTCTAAATTATTTAGAAAATGATTTCGTATGGGCTTTGGGTTTTCTTACACCACTCTTTAAGCTTGTTGGTATCAATGAAGCTACTGAAATAATTGTAGATTCCACCTTCAAGACTAATCAAGAACGATTTGAACTTTTCATAGTAAATGTAAATTGTGGTAGATATGGTATGCCAATAGCATATTTGTATCTTATAACATTAGATAGTAGTGAAAAAACTTGACATGATTCTAGAAACTTTATAAACACTCGAGTAGGAGTGATACGAATGTTTTTTACAAGTCTTAGACAGGAAGGATTGCTACCAGTATTTATTTTGGTAGACAAAGATGTGGGTGAAATATCAGCAGCTCAGGAAGTTTGGTTATCAATAGCTAATATCCAACTCTGTTGCTGGCATGTCGAGCAAGCTATTAATAAAAAAATTAAAGAAAAAAAAATTAAAGCAAATACATATTCATCAAATAAAGCATTGGAAGCACATCATAAGTTTGAGTTTATAGACCCATCATGGATTCAAAGTAGTGCTAAATCTTTTTGTTCAGATGATTTAATTAAACAACTTTTAAAGTTAGTTAAAAAACATGCAATTATGCATCCGCTTATTTTAGTAACCAAGGAGTCTTTTATAAATTCACAAGAGATTTATCGTTTCTGTGTTCAAGAAATATACCAATTTTGTCATTCAAATAATCTTGCTAAACTATGGGGTTATTTGTGGACTAATTAGTATAATGAAAAAGACTGGAAGTTATTTGCTCAGTCTTCATATTCACAGGCTATACCTTTTGCAAGCACAACAATGATTACTGAAAGCCATTGGTGAGTTTTAAAATATAACTATAAATATAACTATAATCGTCCTCGCATAGATCGACTTACTCAAATAATAGCTGAGCAGCTTATTCCAGACTTTGAAATTAAATTAACACAATATAAAGAAAATAGAATTTTTACATCATAGTGGCATGAGTTTAAAGCCGATTGGATTAAGGCTGCAAAAGCAAAAATTCAACCAAATGCAAATGAAAAATATTATATTAATGTTAATCACTGGGTATGTTCTTGTTCAGCTTATTTTTACAGTCGTTATCATCTCTGTAAACATCTTGTTCATGAAAAAAATGGAAAAGAGTTTATACCTAAATTTTCAGAAACATCAAGACGACATGATCACCCTTTATTTGTTTTTTAAAAAAATGAATTACCATTAATTATGCCTATAAATAACCCATGGATTCGGTTTGGTATAACATTTGCAGAAAACAACTCTATTGAAGAGACTAATGTCAATTTACAAAACCCACAAAATATATTAGTAGAAACACATGATGATATAATTGAAAAAGGACAAGAAAAATATATAAATTATAAAAAAAAATTTGAACTAGCTTTAACCTTATATGAATGTGAGTTAGATAATAATAAGTTTATAACCAATTTTGATACTCTAGTAATGCCCTTTTTGAAAGAAATTGATAAGTGTGAAGAAGTATTACAAAGTCTTCATCAACAAAAGACTTGGACATCAGAAAACTCAAAGCTTGCATTTTGGTTATGCTAATATAGTTTTATTTTTATTTAGAATAACTTAGTAAAACTAATGCAGTATACAGTATTATTCATGTTTATTTTTATTATATAAGGTAAAGTAGGGTATTTTGGCATGGGAGATAATGTGGTGCACTGGAGTTTTTTTAAAATATCTCAAGATATACTAATCAAAATCGATAAATTTTAGTACTATTCGATTCGTCTTACTGAGACGAATCAAATAATATAAAATTTTTTTGATTTCTAATTGCTAAAACACAAGATATAAGTAAAAGTCAATATTTCTTATGACAGTATTAAGTTTTTTTTTAATTTTTCCTCATTTGGGTAATGTCTAGAGGAAGGATGCAATAATACAATACAAAACATATAGTGATACATAGTGCGCCATAATACCCCCAAATGTAAAAAACATAGCATTTTTTGAGTAGACTTTGAAAGCTCATATTTCAACCTTTTTTTGTTTTAAAAGTTGATTTTTTTTTTATAATTAGTTAGTAAATCGATAGTTATTTTATTTCGCTAAATTTTAAAAATAAATATTAATTTGTAAAAATTTAATTAGCAACGCAGCTTAGGTGTGCCAGAATACTCTACTTTACCTTAGACTATATAAATTCAGAATTAAGTACAGAATTTAAAAATTATAGTCTTTAAGCATCATTCTATATTTTTATTAATATGACAAAAATTTCACAAAATATAAAAAATAGATACCAATACTGTAAAATTGTAAAATCATTATTTAATATGATTGGTTCATATTGTATCACAAATAATCTACAACACATGATTCGGACATTTTTCTTCGCCATGGCTAGGGTACTGGACTAACTGTCAATATAACAAATAATATCGATATCGATTTTTAGTTGATCATTTGAGAATATTGGTTGTCTTATTAAGCATGATACACCAACTTGATACATTTGAATTAAAATGTAATTACACAAAATTTTACATATTAATTTGTAA